TGTCTATAGGATAATACGATGGTGAATATAAATTGTGCAGCTAGTCATAATGCTGGTTATGATAATATTAATAATAGTAATAATAATGGTCTAATCAATAATAAGGATGAAAAAATGAGGCAATCTGTGATAACACGAGTAATGAAAAACAGTATGATTAAACAAACAATTGTTCAGGTGGAAGTAGTAATGAATATAATGAATATAAGATTAAGGGATGATAAGAAAGGGGTTGGAAATATAAATAAGGGGTGGTGTAGGAGTCTTTCGTTGGTTATGTCTTATTAGGCCACGGGAGGGATAATGGCTGTACGAACTTCTTTTGAATGCATAGTTTAGGTTTAATAGTTCGAATGCCTATCGCCTCAGCTGTATGCAGTAGACGAATACGAAGTCTATTAGAAAGATTCGGAGGGATACGATGAATTACTTTGAAGGCTTTCGTTTTATCGACTACATGACCACTATCAATTAGATGTGACAGAATTGAGCCACGGATTGTTTTTGTCTGTCCTTTGCCAAACCACGATGGGAGATGTTCGCTAACACGTTGGCTAGGCCGTCTAGTAGTACGCCCAATATAACTGTCACCGCAGGTGCAGTTGAATTGATAAACACACATAGATGTGGCAAAAATATCAAGCTTATCCTTCGTTTGCGTCCCAATCATTCGTTGGCTAGAGAATGACAAACATAGGTGTGCTGCGTAAAATGTTCTACGTATGCTCCTTGGAAGTCTTTGGAATAGAATCTCACTAGATAAGTCCCCATTAAATTGTAACTTAATAAATGGAGGTTTCTTATGTGCAGTCAGAGTCACAGGTTTTTTCTCTGATGGTTTCATATGTTTCTTTATGAAACTACTCGGATAACCCATCTCCGTCAAGGAATCGTGAATATATTCAAATTCCTTTTGTAAGAGGTCCTCCGTACATATCTTCCTTGCTCTGCTCGCGAGACATTCTACAAGATTCCTTTTATATTTAATGGGCACGAAACTAAGGAAGTGTGTGTACTGCCCTGTGAATGTACTTTTTCTGTACACCCTTCTCCCAAGTGACCCATCTTCTCTCCTACTTAGCAAGACATCCAGGAAATGTAGTTTATTCTCCTGCTCCTCTTCACAAGTAAAGGTAAGCGAAGGGTGGATGTTGTTGAATTTAAGTAGCAACTCGTCTATGTTAACCTTCTCATCAGCTAATATAAATGTATCATCGACATATCGGTAATATATATCCAACTCCTTGATGGTATCCTTCAATTTCCCGTTTTCAAGTTTCGCGAGAAAGAAGTCAGCTAATATTGGGCCTAATGGTGAACCCATAGCTATTCCATCTACTTGTCGATAGTATGAATTATCGAAGACGAAGTGAACATTCATTGTGCATTTAAGAAGTAATTCTTTGAGGCTACACAAGGGGATTCCTAAGTCTAATTGCCTATCGGTAATTTCTTGACAAATATAATCCACTGTTTCCAAAAGCGGTACGTTAGTGAATAGTGATGATACATCTATGGATAACATGCGTTTATACCTCACATTAGTCTCGGATATTTTAGAAATAAAGTCGAAAACATCACGTACTCGTCGGCGACGACCTACGCCTTGCAGTTAAAGGCATCCTCTTGACATCTTGCAACACAATCGCCACTTGCCAGAATGACTCTTGCAGAACGCAACGTGACCATAGCAGCACCTCATGATACTCTTCGCACATCCTCTAATCTACCCACTACCAATTACCACTGCAGTCGCTTGTCACTCATTCTGCCTCAGTTCTGGTAACGGTGAGGTATGCAAGCCTCAGTCGTATACACTCTCGCTCCCCAGCGTGTGGGACCACAGCTGATCATTATCTCCGTGTGCACGTCATTCTCAGCAATAGCCTCCCCGGCGTACACTACCCATCCGCTGTCTTTAACATCAATCAGTTCATTTATGGATGTAGAAGACTCGAAACAACTTCAGAAGTAAGCACGATGAACAATTTAACAAAACAAGATGCGAAAGCAACAAGTAAACACAATGAATCCAAAAACACCAATTGATATGACGCACCACATATATACACACAGTGCACATAACCTCGCAGATCATGTCTCGATGTGATTGCTTTGAAGAATTGCAGGACTTACACCAGTACGCCTGCAACCCTTCTCAGGTTGGTGATCCACTAATTTCAGAGGCTTAAATAGGAATTTTATCAGGAAAATACCCGCCATATGACAAATAATAACGATATTAATGAAGATAATAATAGCAGCGTTCTCGATCAAAATGACTATTATAGGGGCAAGTAATTCCCTGAGATTATTAGCTACAGCATTCATCTTTCAACACTGGGCGCTAGCCTTCACTGTTTAAGTCGGCCTGTCCAGCTGGAGGCCCACGGTCAAGCATCGACGCCATCTGGCACACTGTCATGTGGCTTTTGTTCGTGCACTACCCTAGCTAGTTAGGCAGTCAACCTCGCAATATGATTTGGTCCTGAAATATACTTCCTATTTTGAAGGATTAACTTGGTGTTTTCCCTTGTCTTCTGCCCATGCGAAACGAATACTGTAGATGTTGCGGGTACCAGATCTTGCGTTAGTATAAATCGCAACATCCGTGAGTGCCAATGCCCTCAGCCTCAAAACTATAATAATGACAGTAGTAAGAAGTATTATTGTCTCAGTAAATTCATCATTGGCTAAGATTACTAGCTACTGGTAATACAATCACATCAACAAAATTTATCACCGATTTCAGTGAGGGAAATGTTTACTCCCACTACTGTAATCTCGCAATGTTGATGAAGTCAACTAGTTTATTGTTACTCAAGTCAAGATTAATTCTGAAATTGAATGGAGACCTAATGCATTCTGACTAAAAAAATGAAGCCTACATCTTTTATTATAGGTTGATTCCACTCATTATTTTGGTACTGGTACAGAATTTTCAGCATGTGATATTGGTAGCTCGACTTTAGCAGGTCAACCATTGATATCAGGTGCTTCTCGGCCGAAGATCGAGCCTCGGACGATTTGAATGGTCGGCAAGCTTCCTGACTTCTGTGCTGTCGACACACAATATACACAAGATTAATTAGAGTGAGGTTTGATGGTTGCTTCCCGATCTTGACGATAGGAATAAACTATATACAGTTACTCAAATGCTGCATCAATCATGCTGTTTTCATCACCACTAACTCGACTGTCGAGTATTTTGTGCTAACTTAAGGGTGGGTGAAAATAAGAGTCAACCAATAATTGAGGCTGCATAGATTTATTACCTCTTCGGAACGTTGAATGCATTCTTAACACCCCATCCAAGTCCATAGACTTTGGTATTGAACGGATTCATTAAATTTAGAAAGCGAATTCACTGAAGTATCATATCTTTTATGTGCTGTAATGGTATAGATTGTCAGTTATTCAACCGGCTTAAATAATGCTTTTGGAAAATATGAACTTTACCAAGCAGCTTAGTAGTGTATGAAACTACCGCAACTCTAATGACAAACTGGCCGATCAAAGGCAACATTTAGAGCCAACTATCTAACTTGCCGACACACGGAATCCGACAGATTGTACTAATAGAGCAACAAATAGTGGCATCAGATGACTGTTGCAGAAGTCAGCCGTTATCTTGATGCTATTAACGAATTGCTTTGCGTTTTATCATGAGTTTTCTTGGCTGAAGTGCATTAAAAATACCGTGTTCGTGTGAGTGGGTGGCACAGTGGTTAGGACTCTCGCCGACCATGCACATGGTCCGACGTTCGATCCCCTGCCGACGCGCACCTGATATCTATGGTCAGCCTTCAAAATTTGGGCTACCGATATCACATGCTGAAAATTCCATACTTGTAGCTAAAATACAGTGTGGAATCAAGCTGTCATCAAAAATAAAATAAAAATAAATAAAAAACCTGTAAAAATGGAGAAAGAGCCGTTTTCAGTATTTTGACCGGACATCTAGTTGTCATTAAGCTGGGTTGTTAGCGTGAATCATTCATTGTAAATTGTTAATGAATTTAAGAAACGTGGAATATTTGAGGTTAATGAAACATGACTTCCTAATTGATTAGGAAGTGTTTTGAATATGAGGGTTATGAAAATTATAAGCCCATGAGACTTTACAGCTCCAAAGGAATATGAATTGATTGATTAGAAAGGAAACAACCGGGAGGCAAAAAAACTTTCAAAGCGGAACTTCAACAGTACGTGATAAATAAGTCCAGCCGAGGTATTCTGTTTCTTAGCATTTATATAACGGAAACCATTTCGTAACACATCTTTTACTGTTTTCATTTTGCAGGCTACGACTGTTACCTCCGCAATCGTTCGACTTATTTGTGGGCTTTCATGAAGCGTGAAGAGCTGTTGTACATATGAATGATGAAACATTTGTGATATCATGAATGTATTTGTTGAAATAAATATTTCTATAAGACTTACACGCCATTCGTACATTATTGCTTTTCAATAATTGCTTCCTCTGAGAGACTGTAAATATGAGAACAAGGGAGGGAAAAATCATAGAATTGGAGAGATTCTCTGGATATGTCGTCCATATCTTCCATCGTAGATTTGAACAATGATGGAACTTCTGGTTCGTTTATCTCAGTTTTTCTTTCACAGAAAGCAAATACAATACAGCTTCTTTTCTAATCCATCCATTGCAACCAATGGTAAACGACTAAATCTTCAAACTTTTAACTCCTCTGATTAAGCTACCCAATAATATTCGTTTTGTGGGTGGATCAAATGCATATCACATCTGTGAAATTTGTGCTTGGATTAATTTGTCCTCTTAAGCTGAAAATTCTAATGTCTATGTGGTTTTATTATTATTTCAAAGCCCGCTCCAGTAAAGTAATACGTATTGGCCGCAGCATTTACGTAAAAGAAAATCTACCAATCACATTAGGCACGAGTGACCTTCGGGTGCTCAACCTCTCTGCAAACAGTGTGACTAATCACCACAGTACCAACAGTTGACGCCTACGGAGGACATGCCATGTAAGATTCATGCCTAAGAGGCCTAGGGATCGAATAACATAAATTTCAAGAATTATATTCTGTCATGCAACTCATTTTTATTGTATAATCTCTCTCGCCTGAGTACATGTACATGTAGCTAGTGCACCCAGCTAGCATTTTTTTCGGGTGCACTGCAGAACGTGGGACAGTTATCTGCAGTCTACCCCCAAAGTGTCTGCACTTCAGTCGACGGCAGTACTAGCTGGATCAATACCCTGTAGATATTTTAAGATGGAGTTATACAACCATGTAATAAGAGATCCTTCAGAACCGTCATAACGGTAATTACTAAAGTAGTCTGTCAATTTACACGGGTAATTACCCGTAATTACACTTTAAAGTGGAGATAAATGGAGTAAATCAACTTAGCAGGACGTGGGACGAATGGATACATAGTTTAAAAGCATACATACCATATTCCCTCCGAAATTTTCCCGTATGCCCCAAGTATTCAGCCAGTTTACCCACATCAACAGCATAATAATTACATCCTACTGATGAATATCTTTCTCGCACAATTGCTACATGATTTGCTACAATTGTCCATGATTTCTAACAAACCGTCGAATAACCATGTCAAAACATGTTCCAAATACAGCTTCATTTTAGAAAACTACTTTCAATGGTATTCCCTCGAGGGAATGAAGCTGTAGCGGGTAGTTAATATCTTGAAAGGCTTGGTGTGGTGTAAGTCTTGCAGCTAATACATAGAGTGATCTCGCTGTCTTATTTCTCGTGTTTTTGGTTTCCTCTCTTGTATTCATTGTTTACCATGTGTGACGTTTGCAATCTGCTATCGGATATTTGCGACATATTTTAGCAGTTCGATTATTTTTGTATGCTACCATTTGCCTTCCGGGGGTGGCTACTGTTTTTCGAATATACGTGGAACGTAAGTAGACAAATAGGTAGCACGGAACTGTATTTTTTCGGCATTTTGCTGTTTAAAGTTATGCTAAATCATAGAAATGTGCTTTACCTACTTCAAAAGCAAAGCTGCTTGTTATAAACACTTCAAAACTTATCGGCTGCGGAATTTCGGAATAATGAGTTGGTTAGAGTGAGTGTTGTGAAACTTTCACAAGGCAGCTTGGATTTGTTCCAAATAACCAATAAATTGAATTATCAGATTAAACTACACTGTGTCATCCCTAGGGATATAATTATTCTTGCCCATGTCCTTGGCCACCGCTATCTTTAAGCATCTATGGAGTTAAATTACTTGGTCTCTTTGTTTAGATTAGAAACCGATATTGCAAACTTAGTTGATATTCGATTAAATCATCAGTCATTTTTCCCTTGACGTTGTTCTCATCAATTTATAAGAAATGTGTTGAGTTCACTTATCCCCTCAGAATACATCGTCAAATCAAGTGTGAAGTCATTATAAACATCATCTTCTGCTTGGTATAATTAAATGAAGATGAAACCTCTTTATCTTGCAAAGCGGTGTAGAAACACATACATAGTATTCGATGGTATTAAATATTCATTCGTGTAGAAGGTTGTCTTCCAATCAAGTCTTGATACATTTGGGTTCGATGAGTAATCATTAACTATATTACCTGAGCCTCGGATTCCTCTTCGTGAAAATGTTTTAGTTTAGGTTTTCTTATTTACACGACGCAGTCCTAAATATTAAAAAAGCTGTGCGTTAATAAATCTGGTCACTGAATTCAGTGAATTCGTTAAGTATCAAAACCTACAGATTCAGATTTATTAATTGACGATAGAAGACTTAAAGCATAGGTTAATCCTTTCCTAATGAGTTGCTGTGCTTATCCAAACCTTCCTTGAATGAGTCCATTGAGAGTACTGACGCCACTTCTGGAAACCTGTTCTAGGAGTTGATTACTCAGTGTGAAGACCAGTATTCCATGGCGATATAGTTCTTCTTTGGCTTCTAAACTCTCCTTCTATGTATGTCCTCTGAGGTGTTCCCACCTGTTGGACGGAAAAGACAAAGTAAACGAAGTCCGTAGTCATTATTTGAAATTTTAAATATTGTAATGAGATCTGTACTCTGTCTTTGGTATTACAAGGGGAAGAGATTCAAATTGTTTAGTCTTTCGTCGTATGACAAGTTGGTCGTGCTGAGAATCATGCGTGTTGCATTCCTTTGAACACCTTTAGAGACTAAGGCTAGCCTCCTGGATGCATTTCTCAGTGTCGGCCTGACCAAAAATGTATGTAAAGAGGGGAATATGTCCAGTAATTCTGGTAAACTCTGCGCGTATTGTCCATAAAGATCTTAAACTATGTGGTGCCACCTTGCGACAATGTGCTGTATTTATTAAGTCGTGACTTATTATGATACCCCAGACCTATGAGTCTGAAGTGATGGGAGTTTTATTCTCTCCAATTGGTTTGAGCCGACTCTTGCGTGTCCAATGCGCGTGATTGAGTACTTCTCTACGTTGATTGGAAGCATCCATTGTTTGGACCACTAACAATTCGTTGAAATCTTGCAATGTGAGCGTGTCATTACCTCCCTTCAGGTCTCTCCAAATTTTCAAGTCATCGGTGTAGAGGTCCATAGGAAATTTGGTGGGCACAGGTGAGATTTTCAGGAAGAATAAGCGACAAAGAACTATAACAGCGAACCGGCCAAGAATCCATTGTCCAATAAAGGAAATGAAACTGAATTTCACATAGGCTGAAGAGACCGTTGGGTGACATCACACTTCAGGGCTTTGAGTGGAACCCGAATAAGAAGTGACGAATCTGAACCCTGGAAATGACATGGAGGAGGTCGCGTGAGGAGTGTGTAAAAGTTTGTAAATCTAGTTGAAGTTGCTGTCGTAGTACGATTGAGCAGTATTGCTGAAGTCCTATGCTCCTCTCCTACCTCAAGGAGAGAATAATAATAACAATAACACTTCATAATGTGGTCAGTTATGTTATTTTTTTTCTGACCCTAGTTATGAAATGTAGTTACGCGAATTTCAAAGGATTGATTTTATTTTCTGGGTATCTTCGGCTTTTCTTTTTAAAAAATCAGATTATTATGTCCTGTCCACTTATAACCAATTCCAATTCGCACTATGTATCAACTCATATCATTAATTCAAATTATATTTTTATGGCAGTGATCAAAATAGCCATAACTGTCAAAATTTATCTCTTAAGACTTTATGTGCTTTTGGTGTGGAATATTTTAATCCTGTATCAAATCTTACGAAGAAGACGTGAATGCTGGATTCATATATCTGATCTACGTATAATTCATGAAAACAATGGTTTCTTAGTTATTAACAAGCATCCTGAGTTATTAATCAACTGTACAAGTCCATGGATCAACTGTTTAACTTTGCAAATGCAGGTTAGTGGAATTTTCCTGCTTCTTTACTTCATCTGACATCGTTATTCTCACGAATCTAGTAGACGAACTTTGGATACACCAAATCCTGGCATTCCTATTTTTTATGTAAGACTCAAAAAACTCCTGTTTCATTTCTTTTTACGCTCTAAGCTAAATTTATTGAGCCGTGTATTATGGACTTGATATTGATATTTTATATATCTTGAAATTATGTTGTTGTTGACACTTGAAAGTGGTCGACTGGTGGTCGGTCCATGAGATCAAGCGATCTATTATTTCTTCGGAAATATTGTCACTTGAAAGTAATAAGCTCAACTCATTATTTACGTAGAAATTTTGCTTACTAAACCGTTTTATATCAGACTTAATCTTTTCTGTGTGTAACCCTGTAGGTCTTAGTACATACTATACAGTTAGTGCTAATGAGAATTACTGATCATGCTGTACGAATCTCGACCACAAGCCTACTGCATCTCAGATGTACACCTTTGCATTAGTTTGTTTAGATAATCAGACTGGAGCGGATGGAGTGTATACTAAAGTAGTTTGATGTATGAAGCACTTGTATAGTGCGATTGCCATCAAATTTGAACTTCAGACTATTAGCGATGACTACATAATACTCTTAAACTGTACATATCATAAGTATTTTAACCTATACGTTTTCTAGAATACCAAGATCAATTCGTATTTTTCAGGTAGCAATATTGAAAGTTAATCGGCCGCCGGTAAAACGTCATTATGCAGTTGACAGTTGTCAACTTAAAAAAAGTTGATTTTCTATTTGACAGAGGTGTTTTTGATAAGTAACTGAGGATAATTTAATAATTCTTACTGTAACATTAGGAACACAATATTCAGCGAAGAGACTGTTTTCAACGAATTTATTATCAAGCTGTACAACCGTATATGGCTTTTAAGAAATTATATCCGGTGAAGGAATTGAATCAAAGGCGTGAATATATGAAGTAATAATAGTAGTATAAAATGCAATTGAAATATTTGTGATTATAATCATAGTTAAATGTCAAGTGGCAAAACAATTAATGCCATATAAAGAATAATTCATAAGACCATAAAACATTATGATAATGGATTAAGCGATTAAATACATGATTCGTAAAGAAGCAAGTGCGACGTGTTTTTTTTTTAAAGAGTGGAGTTGAACTGTACACACCAGTGAATCCGAATAGTATATCAGCCTTCAGGATGGATGTTTTAAAGGACCACTGACTTGAAGTTTGCTCAGCAAGATAACAGACCAATATCAGATTTCGCGTCCTCTTGGATGCAGGTGAAACCAAATCATGCTTATATACCCTTGTTTCCTTCTATAGCCTTATACCAGTTAGCTATGTTGGCTTTGAATTGTGTTTTTCCAATACGCATAGATGAGTCCTTCAATTTGAAGCAGTTAACTGAAGGAGTCCGAAAATAAGCATTTACCTTTTAGCGTCTCATGCAGGCAATTCTCCAGACTTACCTGAAGGAATGGGCATATGAAATTATTTCAAGAGCAAGATTATGGTTCATCCAATCTATTACTGTATCAGATCACCTGTGAACATCAGGATAATAAACATAACGGTGCTATATTTGTCTCAAAGCTGTAGCCACTGAGGTTGACCAACCCCACATTAATGTGGCGGCATAGAGTTAATGCCAGTAAGACCCCAAAGTGTTAGAATTAACTGAAACCAGAACTATATGCTGTCTTCAAAACCTGAGAAAACATGTATATAAATATAGCTAATGCGATAGTATTTAGCTTTCAATTAGTTTCTTAAGAAGTAGGAGTAATAAATCTCTCTCGTGCTTATAAATTCAACCTAATTTTTAAAAATTTTAAGTGTTAAGCTTGTATTTAGAGTACCTACTTTTGTTTTCTTTACAGTTATTCTACAATCGACCTCAGTACGCTAACTGGAAACTTAAAAACATGTTTCATTTCGTTCATCGATTGGATTGTCCAACAAGTGGTTTGATATGCATTGCGTACGATACAAAAACTGCAAGTATTGTAAGTTTCTGTTGACGAATAATTTATTCTGCTACTTGATATAATAATAGAACTTGTGCACCGTGGTAGAATATAATTCCATTATGGGTAAAATTTAATTTTGATAAAGTCTCACACTGTTATACAGTAATGTTTACTGATGACTACGTTTCGAGCACAATTTATCACCGCTCATAATCATATCAAGGCACTACTCATACAACTTTCTAATTTCGTTTATGTAATTCCATTATTTTTCATCGCTTGACTTGATTGGTAGTAGTATTTTCCATATTTCGGGTATGAGTGATGAATCATTTCTATTGCATGTGTTGGGTGTAGACTCGATGAACAAGGATTCAGTAACTAGTCTGTATACTAATATACCAATCAATATAGCCTTAGAAGCTGTTTAAAAAAGAACTAACTGCATATCCTGAACTTACTCATAGGAAAAAGCTTCCCTTTGAGGAAATTATTCTGGGATTCAGTTATGCCTCACATCTACTATCTTTAGATCTCAAGGTAAAATATATGGACCAACAGAAGGTGTAGGAATGAAATCACCAATATCCATTATCGTAGCAGATATCTTTATGGACAGCTGGGAAAATATGGCTCTTAATACGTTTAATCCTACTCCAGATATATGGTGGAGATATGTAGATGACACTTTCACAGTGTTAAGAAAAGAAGATATCTCTGGCTTCTTGACACAAATAAACTCACCAGTAAAAGGAATAAAATTCACATTCGAATCGGAAAATGAACGAAGAGAATTAGCTATGTTAGATAGCAAAATAAAAAGAATAGAAGAAGGTAAACTACACAGTAGCGTTTATATACAGCCAAAACATTCTAACAGATATTTAGACTTTAATTCATCTCATCTGTTATTTGTAAAAGTAGGCTTAGTTAAATTCCTGTCTAACAAACCGAGCAGTGGCACTAAGTAGCACAAAAAAGACCTAAATGATGAAATAACGATCCTATAAAATTTATTAGGAAGATCAGAAAGAGTCAAAAGCAAAATAAAAATGAGGAAACTGATAATGAAAACCTAAATAAGAGAGAATGTAAGTCATCTACTGTTATACCATATAAGGAGGGGACATCTGAGATCCTATGTAGGATTCTTAATAAAGCAGGAATTAGGGTGGCATTTAAACCTACAAACTCACTCAGGGGCAAGCTCTGTAGGTTGAAGGACCAAGTTGACCCAATTAGACAAAATAATATGATTTACAAAATAACCTGCAATGACTGTGAGTTAAGTCAACTACATAGGTGAAACTAGGTCAGAACATAAGAATTTAGCTAAAGTAAGAATGGTTGACTCCGAGAAGATGAGTAATTTACAAAAAAAAGCTCAGCAATTGCAATGCATACATTACCTTAAAAGCACACAAAAGGGTGGGAGACGGTTAAAATTCTAAAAAGTAATCTAGATAGGTGGAGAGAGAGGTTGATTACTGAATCCTTGTTCATCGAGTCTACACCCAACACATGCAATAGAAATGATTCATCACTCATACCCGAAATATGGAAAATACTACTACCAATCAAGTCAAGCGATGAAAAATAATGGAATTACATAAACGAAATTAGAAAGTTGTATGAGTAGTGCCTTGATATGATTATGAGCGGTGATAAATTGTGCTCGAAACGTAGTCATCAGTAAACATTACTGTATAACAGTGTGAGACTTTATCAAAATAAAATTTTACCTATAAATAAAATTATTCTGGTAATAGCTTTTTGGATGTATTATTATTATTATTGCTCCCTTGGGTTCCTAGTGGAACATAGGGCTTCAACTGCACGTCTCCATTTGCTTCTGTCTTCTGCTATACTTTTCGCCTGCATCCATGTTAATCCATATTCTTTCAACTCCTCTTCACACGATCTCCTCCATGTCACCCTTGGACGTCCCACACGCCGCTTCCCTTTCGGGTTCCACTCGAGGGCTTGGCGCGCGATGTCACCCAGCGAGTGTCCGATCCATCTCCACTTTCTCCTGCATATTTGTTGGGCGATTGGTTCTTGCTTTGTTTGTTCCCATAATTCCTTGTTGGTGATTCTTTCCGGCCATCTGATCTTCAGTATAGAGCGAAGACAGTTGTTAATAAAGGTCTGCAGCCTTTTGGAAATATTCTTTGTGACCCCCGCCAAGTTTCTGATCCGTATAGAAGAACTGACTGACTTGACGTTTGTATTGAAAATCCGAATTTTGTTGTTGATGCTGAGTGACGAAGATTTCCAGATTGATTTCAGGCTGATGAATGTGTTTCTCGCCTTCCCGATTCTCGATTTGACATCCTCGTCCGTTCCTCCTGTAGTTGAGACAATGCTCCCTAGATAAGTGAATGAAGTAACCTCTTTCAAATCCCTCCCGTTGATGGTGATTGACGTTGGATGTTGTTGCTGTTGTTGGTTGGTTATTTTCATAACCTCCGTCTTGTCTATGTTTACCTGGAGTCCTGTCTTTGCTGCTTCTTCGACCAGTTTGTCGGTTTTCGCTTGTAAGTCTTCGATTGTGTGTGACATCAAACATAAATCATCCGCGCGAAATCCAGGTCTTCTAGGTTCTTCACGTCGGTCCAGGATATTCCTGTCTTCTCGTTTCCCACAGTCTGACGCATAATCCAGTCCACCACAATTAGGAATATCATTGGTGATAGTAAGCACCCTTGTCTGACTCCTGTGTTTACTCCAAACGCCTCGCTGAGTCTTCCGTTGTGGATCACTTGGCAGGTGCCGTTGTCGTACAGCTGTTGAATAAGGTTGATGAATATTTGGGGTACGCCATAGTACTCGAGTAATTTCCAAATTACTTCACGATCAACGCTGTCGAAGGCCTTCTCAAAGTCTATAAAGTTGAGGTAGAGGTTTGATTGCCATTCCATGCTTTGTTCTGTGATGATGATGCGTAGAGTTGCAATTTGGTCAGTACATGATTTGCCTTTCCTGAATCCAGCTTGTTCTGGTCGGAGTTCTGTCTCCAGTGCGTCCTTTAATCTCTCCAGGATGATGCGACTCAGGATTTTACTTGGCGTCGATAGGAGCATGATTCCTCGCCAGTTCTTGCAGAGTCCTAAGTCGCCCTTCTTTGGTAGTTTCACGAGGTAACCTTTCCTCCAGTCAGTAGGCACCTTTCCCTCCTTCCAGACCTTTTGCAATAATGGAGTCAGCATGTCTGCTGTCGTCTCTGGGTCTGCTTTCAGTGCTTCAGGGGGTATTCCATCTGGTCCGGCTGTTTTTCCAGCTTTCAGAAGTTTGATTGCGTTCAAGACTTCAGCTCTCGTTGGAGGATTGGTGTCAACTTGCAGTTGTGTGCGCGCTGTTGTTGGTATTTCTGGACGGGTTGCAGGTGATGGTCGGTTCAAGAGTCCTTTGAAGTGATCCGCCCATTGTTTAATCTGTTTTTCTTCCTTGGTAATGGGCTTCCCTTGGCTGTCTTTTATAGGTTTCGCTTGTGTTGGTCTCTTCCCGGATAGAGATTTGGTTATCTGATATAGTGTCCTCAGGTCCCTTTTGCCTGCTGCCTTTTCAGCTTCAGTAGCTAGATTGTCGTAGAATCGTCTTTTGTCCTTCCTAGCACTTTTCTTCACTTCTTTGTCCAATGCTTTGTAAGTTGAGCTCATCGTCTCCTTCTCCTGTCCGTCCTTGCATTGAATCATTTTCTCTTTCACCATTCTCCTCTCTTCTATTAATTTCCAAGTGTCCGTTGAGAGCCATTCCTTGTCTTGTCTCTTCTTTCTTCCTAGAACCGTTGAACACGTTTCGTTGAGAATCGCCTTCAGAGACTTCCAATGTTCTTCCACGCATGATTCTTCAGTGATGTCGCGTAGTGTTTCCTGCTTTGCTCTGACAGTTGCAGTGAAAGTGTCTTTTGTGGTTGTGTCCTTCAGTTTGAGTGTTGAACTTGCATTGTGGCCTATCCCCAGCTATCCTCGAGGCTTTTAGTTTCACCTTGAAAGTCCCTTCTACTAGATAGTGGTCTGAACCCACATCTGCTCCTCTCCTTGACCTTGTGTCCAGTAGGCTCCGTCTCCACTTTCTTGAAATTGAGATGAAGTCTATTTGGTTCTTGGTGTTTCCATCTGGTGAAATCCATGTCGTCTTGTGTATATCCTTGTGTTTGAACACACTACCACCAATCACCAAATCATTGAAGGCGCAGAAGTCTGAGAAGAGTTCACCATTGTCGTTCATTTCGCCGAGGGCCTCACGACCCATGGTGAGTTCTCTTCCTGTGTTGTCTCGTCCCAGCTTCGCATTCATGTCGCCCATCAGGATTTTGATATCGCCATTTGGGACGTTGTCCATTATTGCTTGTAGTTGTCTGTAGAACGCCTCCTTCTTCTCTTGTTCTGAGACGTTTGTAGGCGCATAGCATTGAATGACTGTAACTTTCCTTCCTTTTGAGTTGAACCTGGCTGTCATTATCCTGGAGGAGATTGGTTCCCACTGCATGAGAGCTTTGGTTGCTGTTGGTGACATCATGATGGCCACTCCCTCGGTGTGCTCATGGTTGTCCTCTGGGTGGCCGGAATAGATTACTGTCTCTCCAGTAGGTAGTTGGCACCTTCCAGTTCCGTTCCATCTGCTCTCGCAGATTCCCAACACTTCTATTCTGTACCTTCTCATTTCAGCGGCTATCTGGGCAGCCTTTCCAGTTTCGTACATTGTGCGAACATTCCAGGTACCCATCCTTACTTTTGCTTTCATCGAAAGAAGGCACATCGGCTGACTGGCTTCCCGAAGGCTTTCACCAGCCTGCGTCATTTCACTTCCCCGATTCCAGCGAAAAGTAAGGCTATTGCTTATGTTTTTAGAATTTTTAATATATTTATTCGTTGAAGTTTCTGTAGCGATTTGGTTGTTTTACAGGGGTGGAGTTGCTAGCACCACGCCCCAACCCTCTCTTTTTACCCGGGCTTGGGACTGGCGAGAAAACTAGTAAGCTAGTATCTGGCGAGGCTTTTGGATGTACATGGTTCCAATATTCGGTTTGATGG